TATAACAAATGCTTACTTTCACAAAATGGAAAGAGATGGAATCCACCATCATCTCAATTCAAAATTGCAATGGTGATAAAATATTCTGTTCAGTCAGTGAATTGTAAGGGGTGTGATGGACTGTTATTCCTTTCAGCACAAACTTTGTATGACAGTTGTCCCATTCTGAAATTGATCAGGTTGTATTTTGTATGATCTCTTGGTTAATGACTTGGTGACTGTCCCTTCTGACCTCCTGAAATGGTTCTTCTAGAACACTCTATTCCCCAGACAAGCACCCAATTTCCCCTCCTACGTTTTGGTTTTATGGGCTTGGGAGCAGATGACTGTACCGTTGAAAGTTTGGGTTCATGGTAGCTGAGCCTGGTTTGAAGAACACAGACTGCAGTTGTGCAAAACTCCAGTATTTCCAAGAAATCTGCGACTTTGGCAAACATTTGGAGTAAATGACCTTTAACCTTAAGCTGCAGAGATAATGCACCTGTTTCTTAAAACTGTTCCTCAAAGTTCAGAGTATTATTCCCACTATAAAGGAGGAATATTCAAACAGGAACTGGTTCTTATGCCTCCCTCCCCCAAAAAAACTCATGCTGGATATCCCACCTTGCTAAACACTCCCTCAGCAACTTCACCCAGAATCTGCTAAGTGACCTTTCCTGCTCCATTTTTCCAGACTCTAATGGACTGCAAGAAATGGATAGTTCCTTCAGCACTATCCAAAAAGCTCCGGGGCTTTTCCTGTCTCAAATGTTTTCACTGCACTTGCCATATTCCTGTCTCCTTTAGGGGCCTACCTCGTGTTGAATATGCCTGGGTGAGCAGTAAATAATCACATTATTTAGCCTATTGCTAGATCTAGTGTGTGCATCATCTTGACTTTGATACACTTCTAAGGACAGGGAGTCACAGACCTGGCAGCTGGCCGGAATATCCCATCTGCAGTAGGGGTAGGATATTATATTCACCTATAACTTGGATACCATTCAGAAACAGGGAAGTAGTAGTATGGCTATGCATGATGTTGGTGAACCTTAAAATCATTATACAGAGAAAAAGAAGTCAGGTAAAAGAATATCTGATGGTTCACTAAGTAAAAGGTACAGAATGGGAAAAACTAATCTGTGCTGATGCAAAGAAGAAAGGTAGCTATGCCTAGAGAGAGCAGTGGGTACTGATTAGAAAGGAACCCAGGGGACTTTCTGAGAGTGATTGACGTTATCTCTATTCTGATCTGTTCTTTAGCTACAAGGTCCAGTGTGTTTTGCAATAATCAGCTAACTCTGGACTTGCCACCTAGACTTGGGCATTTCAGAGTATGTAACTGACACTTCAAGTTGAGTCATCGTAGGACAAAACTACCCTCACAGAGATTTGTAAGCCAGCTTTGTTTTATTTATATTTACACTCAAATTTTCAATGTCTCCGTGTTTCTTGATTTTCCTTTTTCTGTTTTCATGGTGTTAGTTGAACCTAAGGCTTTGCATGTAGTAACATATGCTCTTAAAATGCAACTAAAGAGTGTCTTTGAATTGCTGAATATAAGAGACTTAGAATTCTATTTATCATGGTTATTTCATGTGAAAGCTTATTAGAGCCATATTATGCACTACCTTTGGTCAATATGTTGGTTAACAACCCTAGATATATCATGGTTCCCCAAAGACAAGATGGATAAACTGTCAATCAAAGATTTTCTAGTAGATGGGAGAGCAATGCTCAAACATGTTGTTATGTCATTGTGGACGAGAAAAAGAAGGACACAGGCACTAATGATCTGAAGAAAAAATGAATAGAAGCCAAGCATTTGTGTGCCTGCCTGCAACCCCAGCATTGGGTAGGCAGTGGTAGAGGATCACTGTAAGTAGAGACCAGCTAGGTCTACAGAGTGAGTTCCCAACGTGAGACCTGATGTAGTCCCATTCTGCAAAGGTAGATTACCTAGACTAGGATTGATTTGTTGCATCAAGATGAATATATTAAGAAGCATCACAAACCCCAGACATAAAGCAGTATAGACAAGCAATTTGAGAAGTTTAGGTGATATTGGCACTAAGATCCTCTTTGAAACTGTGGATCTTAAAAAAATATTTTAAATTCTCAAATTAAAGGTATCATTTCGTAGGAGTTCACCCTAAGTGGTCAGTGTGTGTCCCTTTAAATCTACCTTTATGCACTTACGCTAATTACATTCACACACATCAGTGTGTCATTTGATGTCTGCCTGTTGTTTTTAACTAAGTGATACAAAATTCTATTGTTCTAGGATATTTTCTTAGAAACAGGGTCACGACAAGCCCAGGCCCGCCTGGAAATCACTATGTAAAAGATGCTGGCTTTGCTTTCCTGGTTCTCCTGCCAGTCCCTCACATTTGTTGAGATTACAGATGTCTGCCACCATGATCAGCTTTCCACATTTGTAACCAAATAAGACATTTTCTTCATATATGTATATATATATTCATGTCACTCTATATATTCATACACACACATGCACACACATATATATGCTTAAATCTTTTAATTGGTATGTGGGTGATGTTTAGGCACATTGCAGATGTTTAATTCATTCTTCTGATGAATATTTTTATTTTAATAGTTGTTCTCACTTTACCAACTACAGATAATATGACAATAGTTTTCTCCTTCACATCTGCAGTTGTGGGACTGTTTCTCTGATGTTATGGTTCCATTCCGGGCAAGTACAGTATAGGATATCTAGATAACTTTGATTTTCACATAAATAATAATTATTCAGACTTTGAGGTTGTCTTCTTACAGGCCTGCCTCTCCATACAGGAAAAGTGCACACTAAATGCCTTTGCTGTTGCTCTGAGTGAGATTCAAGTCTGCTTCATGTATTTTATCTAGCAACTAGAGCTAGGATGACCATCTACAAGTGAACACCTTTAGCAAGTGCTTACACACTGAAAATGTCAGTGAATATTGTGAACTCATTTCCAGTCTTTTACCACGTTTGATGACCATACATTTAATTGTCCTGGACAATATGTCGGGTCACATCTGTCCCTGCATTTCCACTAGCATTTCTCTCTGGGTTCGACCACTTAAGAAAATAAATATCACCACTTTGCATTTCTGACCGAGGAGAGGCTATTGACTTGTTGTTGTTGTTGTCACCATCTCTAATTCCTTTATTTTTGTAGAGCAGGCCACCATGAGCAGTATGAGGAAATGACGTAGGGCTGGAGGGCCTAAGTGTCAGCCACAGCATATAGAGTAATGCAGAGAGCAAGACAGACCCGGGACTCCATCTGTTCCCTAAGAGCATGCCTAACATCAGGCTGCTGGCAGGCTGGGTCCTTGTATGGTGGTCCCTCTTAGCAATAGCAAGTGTTTTGGCCTTGACCTTTTGCCTTTTCTGGAACTGCAGAACCCAGTCTCATCTGACGGTGGACAGAGGTAAGTGGCAGACCTCTTTCTGGGGGTGATGGCTGGCTTCGTCGGGCGTGAGGGATCAGAAAAGAGCTGGCACGAGTTTCACAGTGGAGGCGGCACGGCTCCAGTCCAGAACACAGGTGGAACCCGTCAAGTGTCCAACTGCCTGTGTTTAGTGGCCAGGGCGGAGAAGACAGTGTACTGCTGGCAGAATTTTAATGAGAGCACACAGCCAGAGGTTCCGGCATGTTCCCTAGGCTTGCTTTCTTTTTCTTTTCTTTCTTGTTTTTAACAGTTAAAAGCCACCCAAAGAGAGAAACGATGTGAATCACTGATAATGAAACACCTTCAAGTGGAATTTAAAATGCATGTCCAAATACAATTCTACAGGGTTTGGTTTAATGGAAAATTTCTGTGTTGAAGACAATATTATGGGAGACGGTCCAGTCTGGAGGCAGAGACGATGCTGTCATTTGGACCGAGAACACCAAGCATAAGTTTGCCTGAGCCCTCGAAAGAGTGAAAGAGCACGTTTAAGAGTTCAAAAGTTGTGAGTGCAAAAGAGCAGTTACGAGCTGAGGGATGACAAAGGGCAGGGGTTGAGGGCATAAGAGAAGGCACCCTCTCTCCCTCCCTCCCTGGCTGCCATCAGACCTCTCAGAAGCAGCATGGATGTGAAAAGATCTTTTCTTCCAGGGACGGAGGAACTCGTCAGAGACTAAGGGTCTGTGTGGCTCTATAGGAGAGACCTCCATTGCAGAGTTGGCAGATGTAGTGGTTCATGGAGGGGTGAGCTGCCCAGGGGTAGTGTGGGGATTCAAATAGGTGGCCCCCATAGACCCATGTGTTTGAATGCTTGGCCTTTAGGGAGTGACACTGTTGGGAGGTGTGGTCTTGTGGGAGGAGGAGTGGCCTTGTAGGAGGAAGGGTGTCACTGGGGGGCAGGCTTTGAGGTATCATATGCTGAGGCTACACCCAGGGATGCAGCTTCCTTTGGTTGCCTGTGGATTCAGATGTAGAACTCTCAGCTCCTTCTTGGAGGACCATTTCTGCCTGCCTGCTGCCATGTCCTGCCATGATGATAATGGACTAAACCTCTGAAAATGTAAGCCAGCCCCAATTAAGTATTTTCCTTTTCAAGTGTTGCCTTGGCCATGGTCTCATCACAACAATAGAAACCCTAATTAAGATGGGGAACCATGGTAAGGAGAACAAGGCCTGAGGGGCAGATAGAGTTTGTCTGTGCTGACCTCTGACGTCCCGCAGTGAACACCATGACCTGGATGCTGGAATGGAAGGGAAGCAGTTTCCAGTCTGGAACTTGCAGGCCACTCCAGTGCTTGACACCTAAAACACCTAGCACTCCCTCAGCTGGCACAGGAGAAAGGGTAGCAGTTATCAGCTCTTCTGCCACAAGGCAGTACAAAAGACAACGGCGTTGGACCTGGACAAACAATAGATAGATAAGGAGCCCCATGGAAACCCACGAAATACCGCATTTTGCAAAGGCACTAGAGCCGCACCATTAGGAAGAACAGAAATTTCATAGGAGGATTATTAGCTGATAGAGTACTATAGTCCTAGTCAGGGTGATAAGAAAGAGGAACCCCGGTACAGGAACCACAGCATGCAACCAATGCCCACTGATAACTAATTCCAGTGAAGGACAGTTGTTGTTCACCTGACTCTCTAGCAGATGGATCGAATGTATGAGACACCTGGGCTTCTGACGTGTCAAAAATAATTAGAAGGAACAGTGGGGAAATATCCAACTCAGAGCAACAGTTAAAAAAAGGATCATTTACTACCATGGGAAGTATGCCACAGGTACAGGTATAGAAGGCAAGATGTAAAGGTATTGAAGTACTCCAGAATCAACAGAAGAAAACACATTTGTTGTGGTTGAGTGCCCTACACATTTTCCAGATGCCACCTGTCCTTGGTACTGAGCTCTGCATAGAAGGCGTTTCTAGTGCAAATCAAGCCGACTATGTCTTCATACAGGGAAATTTTGACCATGGTGTTCATATAGAGGACAAGATTTTTACAAAAGATTTAAGAACAGAATGATGAGGGAAACTATTCCACTCAGAATATAAAAAATATGTTCAAGTCTCCATTAAAGAGGAGCAACAATAAAATGCCAGCAATGGGAGAAATTTGAAAGACAGAAGCATGAAAATCATGTGGAAATTCAGGGACCATTGTATTGGGATCTCGGGCCGGCCATAGACGTTAAGGCACAGAGGCAGGTTGCTTACTGTCGAGAAACAGCAGGCTGAAAATGGAATTCTTACCTGTTGGACACAATGCAAGAAAAAGAGGTGGCTGCTGGGCTGGAGACCTCTCCTGGTTCCTTGTGGGCTACCCAAGTGTTGCCCTCCTAGCCCCAAGGTTTACTGAGGGTCCCTGAATGTCAGATGAGAGGCATGAGGAAGGAAAGTACTTTGTGGGGGAACAGCCGGGCCCAGTGAGGGGGGAGGCAGAGAACTAAGCAAGCAAAGACGCCAGGAGCCCTGGAAGGTGCGATTATACTTAATGCCTCTCTGCACTGTCTAGTGGAGAAGTAACAGTTAGACAGGGCATGCTACCATCGCCGCCATCCCAAGTGGAGGGCGCCTAGGGGAAGCAGGTGGGCCTGTTGCTGCAGAAAGGCCTCCACTCAGGGGCAGAGGCATCTCTCCCCTAGGGAGCCTCCTCCTCAAGGGGCAGGGACAGAGAGACACAGAGGATCTCAAATGGCCTGATTCTTCGCGGCAACAGCCAATAGGGAGGAAGGTTTGCTTTGAGTGCAGTCCTGAGGCTTCTGGTCTCCTCTAAGGCTGGCATCAGTGGCCCCCACCTCTAGGAGAGGGGTCCCCTCATCCTTCCGGCCCCGAATGCAGTACCTTCCCCAGCCGGCAGAGGCGCTGCGGGACGGCGCCAGCGCGTTCCCTCAGCAGAGCAGGGCAGCTGAGGCTGCGCCCCCTCCCCTGCCGGCTTCCTGGTCCTCGGGGTGTGAGGGCCGCGGCCTGGGACTCCAGACCCAGGGCCTGCGGGTGTCCTCGGCGGCCCCCGCAGCGTCCGCGGCGACGTCGTCACGCTCCTCGCGGCCTCGCAGCCAGCGCTCGGGCCGGCCGCCGAATGCCCGAGGAGAGGACGCGCATCTCCTCCCCGAGTTCCTGCTTCCTGGGCCAGCCAAAGCCGCAGGTGAGAACGTCCGCGGTAGAGGTGGCACCCAGGGCCTGCGGGTCTCAGAGGCCCCCTGGCCTCCTTCTTCTCTCCTCCTTGCCCAGGAAAGCCCGCGGGGGCGCCTGCAGCGGGGATGCTAAATGCTCCCCAGAGCCCCGAGAGCACTTCTTCTGAGGCACGTAGCCCCCGCCCAGGTGCTTCTGCGAGCTCATTGTGGACCCCTCAAGCCCCTAGGGGATCCCCCGCCAAGCACCCCGCGGGCCCCCCACCCCTGGCGCGCATGCCCAGAGGCCCTGGGAGCTAGAAAGTAGCTGAGCTGCTGGCGCAGTACCTGCTGGCTAAGAACGCGAAGACTCAGTGGATCAAAAGGGCAGACATGCTGAAGTGTGTCATCCTAAAGGTGCAGGAGCTTCTTCCCCGAGATTTTCAAGAGAGCCACTGACCTCCCCGAGTTAGTCTTTGGGTCTAGGTGAAGGAACTTGGCCCTGCAGAGCACTCCTATGTCCCGAACAGGAAAAAAAATCCATCCTGCCCTGCCTTTGGGGCCTGACAGGCGACCAGGGCAAGCACTCCAAAGACTGGGCTTTCTGCTGAGTACCCCGGACTTGATCTTCGTGCGGGCCGGCTGTGTCCCAGAGGAGGTGTTCGGGGAGGTGTGGAGGGTATTGGAGGTATGTTCGCCCAAAAAGCATCCCGTCCTTGGGGAGCCGTCACCAAAGTGCATCACCAGAGCTTGCGAGCAGCACAGGTTTCTGGTGCAGGAGTAGGTGTCCTCCAGCAGTCCCGTGCTCTCGGTATTCTTGTGGGGTCCTCAAAGGAAACAAGACAGATGGAAGTCCTGGAGTTGGTGACCCAAGTGAATGACACCTGGCCCAGAGCCTTGGCTGTGGCAGTAAATGAGGCCTTGAAAGAAGAGGAGGAAATACCCGGTGCTGTGCGGTGGCCGAGAAGCAGCTGCTGGTGATGATGTGACAAGTGCGAGTGTTAGTGCGAGTTCCAGTTCCAGGGCCCGTGCCATGGCTGAAGCAAGCATCAGCGCCAGTGCCAATGCAAGGGCCAGGGCCAGGGCTAGAGCCATGCCGTGCCGGAGTGATGGTCAGGACCGGGGACAGTGCCGGTGCCGCTCAGGATCTCAGGCCCTAGTCAGGGCTTCTGTTGCCACTGGGGGTGGCTGAGGCCCAGGTTTCCTTTCTTTTGTTGTGGGTAGTCAAAGGGGCACTGGAGCACTGGGCCCTGGTGCTCTGATGTATGAAGAACGCAGGGCTAGAGCAGGGGCAGGAAGGAGACATAGCATTGTTCTCCAGTTCTCTGTGCTTCGTGGTGACTTAGCGCCTAGGCCGCACATTGCAAAGTCGTGCGTGCTTTGTAGCTGCCCTCTTTCCCGTCGAAAACCAGTTGCGAGGCATCGAGTGATGCGAACTAAGTGATGAAGGCTGAGGATGTGGCTGAGTGGTAGAAGACGTTCTTCACACGGGTAAGGCTGTGGCTTCCATCCCTGGAACCAAAAAGTAAATCAAAAGCGACTCGATAAGAACAGTGTCAAATCAGAGTGGAAGGAAAGGCGTACTAAACTACTTCCCAAATCCTTGCTTTTTTAGACAGATGAGTAGTATGAGCATCTGCGTTTATGCTTGGCATACATCCAGTGTTTCATTGCTCCTTTTGTAGGAGAGACATGTTCGTTTACACAAAACAATTGTGACACTGTCATTTCATGTCTGAAACATTCTAGAGTCAGTAGTTCTTTGAGATGGTGCAGGAATTCATGGTACGGAGATTCCCCCTCCAGATATTAAGAAATAAAACACAAATATGGCTGAAATCTGACACACAGCCAAGACAGCGGATGTTTCTTGTATTCACCTAGAGCTCTGGAATGTAGGGAAAAATAAAATTGAATTAGACACCTTGCTCATGGACTCATTCATTTAACCTGTGTCTAGTGACCATGTACCTTATGTGTGTGAGGCCCTATGCCCGGCACTGGTGGTCCAAGGATACACCAGACTCGGGCTCTGCCCCACATCTGAGAGTCTAGGTGGGGCGTAAATAGCTGAGGTAGATGTGGCAGTCGGGTTTTTCTGGGCTGGTCATATAAACCAGGCGGTCAGGGAGCGCAGAGGAGAGGCATGGATTCGTGGGAGGGGAGTCTCCAGGAGGCAGCAGGCTTCATCGCCTCCAAGTAGCAGCACCCGAGAGATGCAGCACGAGAGATGTGAAAACTGCAGAAGACCCCAGGTTGGCATGGTGTGGATTCCTGGAGGAACTGCAAGGCAAGAACTAGAGGATACTGGAGGGATGCTGAGAGGGCAAGACCACATGTGCAGGAGACGCAACCTCCAGTTGTACCTGACAGAGGAGAGGGATTAGAAAAGACTGCACTGCACACTCTTGGATCCGAGGTTTGCCAGAGGAAAGGCCAACAGCAGCAGCTGTGGTCAGTGCTCTACTCTGACACCCATGCACACCGTGGGTCCCTAATCCATCATTTCTAAGGAGTGGCAGGAGAGGAGCAAGTGTCCATTAGCAGAACGGAGATTGTCCCCTGAGGCAAGGGCACAAACAGAGGTCGTGTGCTGCAGCCTGTGAGAGCCAGAGCTCAGTGTGCTGAGAGGGCAGTGGTAGGGTTACAGTGAGCTTCCGTAATTTGAAAAGGAGAGCAAAGGCCTGTGTGTGAGCAGCTGTGAGGGACTCTAGGTGTTGTGGAGCACTGTTGACAGAAGTGAGAGGGAAGTGTGTCTGAGCAGAGAAGCCTTGTGGCCAGACCCGGGCCCCAATCCTATTTAGTCAGGCTACACAGGTTTCCATGACTCGAGAGGATCTGATGAAAGGGTGACTCTAGCCAGTGTTGGTGGCCTCTATATGCAGCGTGGCATTGAAAAGCGCACATTCCCTCTGCTGACGTAGGATAGCTTCCAGTGGATATCAGGAGCATAGTGGCTGGCTGTTGCGCCTCAGAAACCTCTTACCCTCTAGACACAAATCTCATGGGATCTGGAAACAGCACTCTTGGGGACTCCCCTCGGATATGAGGGGTCCAGTGAGCACTGCACCTAAACCCTTCATTCTTTTACTTGTGTGAAGGAAACAAAGGGGGGTATCTGCTGGTCTCGTGAGGGTGACGATGAAGTGGGAATCTGAGGTGACCTGGAGGAGTAGGTGTGTCAGAATGATCTGTTTTTCTCTGGAATGGGGCTCTTGGGGCCGAATATGTGGCTGTCAGTCCAAACCCTTTCCTTGAGACGCCAAAATATTTTTTTCCATTTGCAGCCCATAGCCCATGATCAGTGATAAAGGCTGCATATTATATGGTGTATATTTTTGTAGTTCTTACATTCCATTTTTCTCAAAAATGATCATGGAGGATTTGTTGTCTATGGTCCACAGTCCTAATAGGTACCTCAGCAAGCTCTGCTGTCCCGTTAAAAGTACTAAGCATGTGGTCCATTCTCTTGCCTACGTCGTCAAATGTTCCCTGACTCCAAATGCCAAGATTATCACACCTAAATTACTTTTTCTTTTCCTGAAAGAGGTGCAGGAACAATATTGGTGTAGAGCTCAACAGATATATCCAGATGTATTCCTACCTAGATGGAAGGAAGCAGGTGAAAGCCAGATGAGGCAGATGCAAAAGGGTGAGCCTACAGAGTGCTGCTTCCCCCAAACAAGTGGAGACAACAGTGTCCCCCCATTTCTGACATAGCTGGGTTCAACATAGACAGAAGGAAAGACGTTTAGGGTCTCCCATGATGTCAACTTCCCTTTGGTTTCTGATGTTCAGTATGTTGTTTCCCCGGTCTCTGATATCTGGTGTTGCAATTTCTTTGTTTTTAATTATTTTATTTCAATTGCACGGTTGTTTGACACACATCTGTGCACTATGTGGATGCCTGGTGCCCACAGATGTCACAAGAGTGTATCAGTTAGATTTCTTGGGACTGGAGTTATACTCAGTTGTCAGCCATGATGTGGGTGGTTAGAATCGAACCCAGTCCTCTACAACAGCAACAGGACTTCAACCACTGAGCCGTATCTCCAGCTCAGCCATTGCCATTTCTAACGTGGTCTCCTCCATGTTAGGTTAATGGTTTAGCTGTGCTACATCTTCCATTGGGGCCTTATCTCGAGGAAACTCTGTTTCAATAGCTTTCAAGGTCTCCAAGGAAAGGCAAGAAAGGCCCACACAGAAAAAAGAACCATAGTAGTGAGAGATAAAGCTGTCCCTTTGAGGATGTCTGTTGTGATGAGCAGTGGCATGTCTGGGAACTGTTCGTGAGCCCGGAAGTCGAAAGCCTTATTGTAGGATCCAGAGAGTCTTCCTCCCAGTGGCTTGTCCCCCACTGTGCACCCTCCCCCACCTACTCCTCCACTACCCATTGATAAATGAGTCCAAGGATTTCTCCACATGAGGATCATTTACAATGAAAGGGGGCAGAGACATGCTATTCCCTCCTCAGGAAATTTTGGTGCATGCAAATGCCCCTTGGGGTGAGAGCTGAGAGCTGTGGGAAATCAATGCACATTGAACTAGGACTCCAATGCCACCACCAAACGGCAAGCACCATTGCCTCAAGAAGGTGATTGTATGACCCAGGAGGACTAACAAAGACACTAGTTCTCGCTTTTCACACCAGCATCTCCTGGACCACCAAGACTGACACCCAGATGGTCTCTCATATGAGTGATTGTCAGTATGAAAGTGAAGGAAAACCATGAAGACAAAACACTGTAAGGCACGCCGGCATTTATTTCAACCTCATTGAACAAGATGCCTGGGAGAGCAGGGGCCTGGGCAGCAGAAGGCCTTGCTCACTGTCATGGCTGGGTGTCTGCAACTCCCGTGGACTCAGCCTCGGCCTGTTCGGCGCCCTCTCCTGAGAAGCAAACAGAGAGACAAGCGGCCCCTCAGAAGCCCTGTGGGGATGGAAGGGAGGGCTGGGTGCTCTCTGGGGGCGAGCAAGGGGCCGCCCAGCTTGCAGTGAGTGGTGAGACAGACAGGCTGGAGCAGAGCCCTCACC